CAGGGAATAGACCCGTGGCCACCTAACCGGGCTGCAGCCGGGGGACAGCGATAACGAGAGACAACTACGGCAAACCACTCCGACAAGCCAAGCCCAGGCGCTCGACATGCCACTTAATGCATGTCACTCCAAGGCGGCATTTCGGGAACAAGACGCGCTCGCTCGACAACAGCTGCTGCAAGTTGTTGCCGCTGCCTGCCTGCCTGCCCGCCGCTCTTCTCTCTAAGCTCTGTTCTGCTCGCCACCGATCCCATTCCCTTGATTTTCGTTCTGAATGCTGTTTTCTTTCCTTGTTCTCTTCATTCATCAGATTAAAAGGGGGAGGAAAAAGAAAGAAGAAAAAGAGTTTGTCGTTGGGAGATCAAGCAATCAAGCAAGCGAAGAAGCAGAGTGTGCCGAGGAAGACGAAGAAGCAAGCAAGGCCATGGAAATGGCTGGGGACGTATGTATGGATGTGTTTACCGTAGATTTTCTTCCAGTGGTGGTAGAAGGCGAGGACGCGGGGGAGGACGTTGTGGGAGCGGTAGGGTGGCGGCATTGGCTTGGCGGAGGCGGCCACCATGAGCGCCACCATCTCCCGGACGCACCCGATGAAGAAGCGGTAGGGCGGGCCCCTGATCCCCTGCCGCGCGAAGTGCTCCTCCACGCGCCGCGGCCGCCACCACAGCACCTCCATCAGCTTGGCCGCCACGTACGCCAGCGCCGCCGCCGCCGCCGCCGCGATCCACCACCAGCCCATCATCCGCGCCAACAGCACCGCTCAATTCTATCTATGTATGTATGTATATCCCCCCTCCTCTCGCCTCACTCACTCACTCACTCACTCACTCGTTGAGCTGTGCTGTGTCGTCCGTCCTCAGAGAAGAAGAAACAAGTAGAAGCAGAGGAGAGAGGAACAGAGGAGGAGGGCGCGTGAGGTGGCAGGGGCGGAGACGCGGTGTGCGTGGTGAGGTGAGAGGAGAGGAGAGAAAACGGGGGTGGATTTATATAGGGGAGCCGGGCTCTGGACCAGCATGTGTGTAGTAGTAGTAGGATTAGTATCGTCGCTGAAAGCGTCGGATGGATCCATCCATCGGTTTCGTTTCATTTAATCTAGATAGAGGGGGGCAAGGGAGGGGGCACAACGGTAAAAGCTGGCCGAGAGCGAGAGCGAGAGCGAGAGAGAGAGAGAGAAGGATGTGATGTGGAGCGAGCAGGGCCGGCGCCGTTGGAGCCGCCGTCGCGGGGATTAATGGCGGGGTCAACCCAAATTGGCAACTTTGTTCTCTTTCGTTTTGGCCTCCCCCCTTCTCTCTCTCGACCTTTCTCTCTCCAGCCTCTCTCTCCCTCGAGCCTCAGCCTCTCTCTCTCTCCTGGCGCCCTGTGATAACGTGCCAACACTGTTCCATTTTCACCGCTCCGCTGCAAAGCCTTGCCAGTGTGGTGCGTGCTACAGAGAGGATTCTGCTCTGTTCTCAGCACCCTCCCCTCCCCTCTGAATCTCTGATGGACATGCTGCCGTGCCGTCCGTCCTTACACGTACTGACATCTAGGGGCTATTTGGTTTCCAGCCACACTTTGCCACGCCTAACCTTAGGCAAGTTTGACCAAGTTAGGTAGGTGTTTAGTTCTAGCCACACCTAAGGCAAGGATTATTTTATGAGCAGTGAACCCCACATGTCATAGACACAAAAAGTGTGGCAAGATTCCCTTAGGCAAGCCAAAGTGTGGCTAATAATTTGAGCAACTCAACTAAGGCAAGTGTGGCAAAAATCATGTGACAATATATGGCAAAGATAGTCACAATCCAAACAGCCCCCTAATGTAGTACTAGTAGTAGGAGTAGTATGAGTAGCGCTCACTCATTCATGTTGCTACTAGTATCTCTCTCTGTGTGTGTAATTATCCTTGCGCTCTGCTGTGCTCTGCTCCGCACTGTGCCGGGCTGTGTGGCGTGTCAGTCAGGTTGTTATGTGCGCGATGCGGGGCGCCTTTTCTCTCCTTTCACAGCGGCAATGGCTCCTGCATGTAGCTTTTGAGGGGCTGGCTACCTGGGTGGGGCTTCATCTCATCTCATCAGTCATCACCCCGATGAGATTGATGAGATCTCTTGAGGGTTATGCGCGGCTGATTTTGCTGTATCGCCCGCGGTTCTACCTTTTGGGGGATGGATCATCATGGATGCAAGGGGGCAAACGAAAGAAAGAAATACAGGGGGCTTTGTGGCCTGTGGGCTCCTCCTCCTAAGCCTAACCTCAGAAGAGACAAGGGCGATTGGAGATGCATCAAGTCTAGTGTTTCTTTAATTGTTTGTTTATTATATATGTGTATAGTAGAGAAAAGGGTGATAGAGTGCTGAAAAAGTGCTGGCTATTTATAATCAATCAATCATACATCGTTAGGGCTGATGGGCTCTGTTCCTATAGCCGAATTATTAGTGCATGTCTAGTTTACACGTACTTAGCCTTTGCTCTTTTTTTTGTGTGTGGTTGAGCTGAACTAAATCACACCGCTGGCTATTATTAGGAGTAAACTGAGGTTAGATTGACAGGCTCTGCAGTGTAGGGAAATCTTTGATCTGCAGTATATACTTAAGAAGTTTATCTTCACTATCTTGTTTAACTTAACACACAGTATATTCACCTTATGACATATGTCCCATAATATCACTTTCCGTTTAAATACACATGCAAGTAATACGCATCATCAAATGCATGCAATCAATCAGCTTTTCAATTTTCCCTTAAAAAATCAGCTTTCCATTTTCTACCACATGCACGTGATTCATATCATCAAGCCCTAATGCAACCATTCAACTTTACACTTTCTACCACATTCAAGCCTATATTTATATATTATAATTTTATTTTTTGGTAAGTTCGTTGGTAGAAATTTCCCCAACAACGCATGTGGCATTATCTAGTTGCAGCAGTATTTTGTATACAACAAACCATTCAAGAAAAAAGGGAAGTATTGTACAACAAACAAACTCCATTTCTTCAGATCCCTTCTTCAGTGTCTCTAACAAACTCCAGGCAGTATTCATTCCTCCTTCCCAGTGAATTGTTGCATACCTTTCTGGCCGGTTTTGTTTGTTTCACATCAAGCTCCCGGATTTGCAGGGGAGCCTTATCTGCCAGTGCCTTTTCTTTTGAAGAACACTCACTCGTATTAATTGCACCTTTGTTCTATTCTAGCGTACTACACACCAACAACAACAGCTATCTATATGGTTCCTAACTCCTTCCTCCAAAAATATTTTATCAAGCTCGATCAAATGTAACAGGCGCCTCTCGGTTTGGAAATTGGAACTACACTACTTAACCCCATCATGCATGCTTGCATGGATCAATGCAGGGCAAGGCAGCAAATAATGAAGCCGCAACTGTTACTTGTACTTGCTAATTGTGTAAACCCATGCCAAAGTTGACTTGATGGAATCTAATCCTGCAGGCTGGCATGCATCAACCAGTAACACCATTATGTTTGGAGCTGCTAGAGAGATCACATCAGATGTGCTGGTTTGCAACATTTGGTGCGTGCGTCCGTCCGCATTGAAGGTACGTACATGTATGAATGTGAATGGAACGCATTCATGATTTGTTTCCTTTCTTTCTCCATTGATCACTTAGCATGATTGAAGGGGAAAAGGGGGATGTGTAGTGTGGCAGTGTCATATACCATGTACATGTTGCCTAAATAAAAGGCTAAAACTTGTAAGAGCCCCCAGTACCAGTGACATGACTTTGCACAATAATGCACAAGTGGCATGCATGGTTGGTTGTACACCACCACCAGAGCTAGCTTGTATTAGCCTCGATCCCCCACTGCTCACCTGATGTGTTGCTCGCCACCTGCTCCCGCTTGGCTCGTTTCTGTTGAGCTGCTAAAACTGGAGCTGCGGATGATTAGCACTGCCACTATAGCCATGCCACGGCACATGCATGTGTGTATACGCATATGCATGTACGTTCATGCATCCATGCATAGCATCGCTGCACAAGGATATCGTATGAATTACATCTTCACATATGCACATTATATGACAGCCGAATAGTAGAGTCGCTTTTTGCCCCATCGATCTGAGTCCTGGTGTGGGTGTGCCTGAAAACCTGCAGGTGTCTGACGGAAGTCTTTCTCTAGCTAGCTACCTGAGGTATCAAAACGCTGGCCTGACCGATGAACAAGATCTCTGGCTATCTCGGCACTGTTTGCGTCGAGCGGTGTGCCCCCGAGAACGTGCCAAAGTTTTCTTCTGGGTGCTGTGTGCGTGATGTGAGAAGCAAAGCTTAGCTCCTACAGTGACTGCAGCTAGCAAGCAGCGGCCGGCCGGAGGAGAGGCGCCATGCATGCAGGCAGTGCGCGGCGCTGTTGCTGCGATGCGTGACGGTGGTGGTGGCCAAGGATGGATCATGGATGGACGGAGATGAGAGTGAGGGAGGGAGGGAGGGAAAAGACTTGACATGCAATTGGAGGAGCAGGGTCAGGTCCAGGTTATATCTACCCATGTCCGTTTCCCTGATGCTTCCCCCGCTGAGCAATCACGCACCGGCTGAGCTCGGCCACACCCCGGCTGCCAGATCGGGTAAAACGTGTGGAATCATGGGATGATGCATATCCATCCATCCATCCATCTCATCACACACATATACACAGTGACAGTGAGGTAAGTACATGGCTCCAAGTAGCTAGTGTGCATACATTTTCATCTTGTCATTTCGATCCATCTCTCTCCAGGGGCGACTGTTCAAGCACTGTGTATACGTGTGATGGTGCCATCTGCTAGTATGTCTGAAACGTGATCGGGTGGTCGATCTGCTATCATCGCATGATCCATGTGTTTTGCGAGAGGGTGCAGCGCTAGCTGAAGCCAACTGTAATAAATGGACAGATCGGCGTCAGTCAGGAGCCAATCATTTCCAATCTTCGGGTCTCTGCTTGCTCGAGAACCGGTCGAGTGATTAATCAGTGGGTGATGAGCGTGTATCCATCGGAGGAGCAACAACGCCGATGACTGACTAGTGAAGGGAACTATTTGGTGGTTAGGGTGCATGCATGGATCCAAGCTACACCGCAGCACAACAACAACAATATTTATGTGCGTGATTCTGGGCTTTCATCCACAGTGGACAGAGCGCAACAAGACGGAACAATGCATGTATCTTGATTATGCTGACATGAATACATGTACTCCCTGTCGCTCAGACGCATCTAATAGATACATCCATTAAGCGATAAGTGATTTGGATCGGAGGGAGTAACTAATGACGCATATATATTGAAAACAAGACCAAAAAATGAGCAGTGGTGAATGTCTTGTCGAATTGGAAATTATAGCTAGACATGACTGGCCCTTGTTGATTGAAAGAAGAAAGGCGATGGGGCATGCATGCCAGAACCAATCGAGACAGAAAAGAAAAGGAAAGGAGCGAGCTAGAGAACATCTTGGGCACCGCCACCGCCACCACCACCATTAGATATCGAGGAGCGAGTGGCGAGAGCGATCGGTCGATGCCTGCTCGCTAGCTCGACGGTGCAACACCAGCAAGCGACCCGACACGCCGAGCTGGGAGGAGAGGGAAAGAAGAAGCTTCTCAGAGTTCTCATGGAGCATATGGCTTGACTCGACGACGCACGATCTGACGGATGGGATGGCACGTACGGGACGGCGACGGGGCCGGCGGGATCCGTCGATCGGACCTGACGGCCGCCGGCCGGGCATATGATAACGATCGGCCATGAGCATACGTCACGTACGCG